TTCAAGAGCCCCCCCCTGAGAGGATAAACTCAACCCTGTGCGTCCAGAGACCCCCCCCCCCCAAGAGGAAAAACTCAACCCTGTGCATCCAGAGACACCCCCCAAGAAGAAAATCTCAACCCTGTGCTTTGAAGACCAACCCCAGACCCCCGTCCCCTGCACGTCCTGGCTCTGCCTCCATCCTTTCCTGCCCCAAAAGGCCAGGAAATGCAGCAAAAAAAAGAGGTAGAGGGAGGTTTTGGGGACCAGCCACCAACTACTCGGGGAGGCTCACCCCGATACTCGGAGAAGGACAAGGAGTAGATGAGAGACTCCCCCAGAACTGAGAAGAGCAAGCGGCTGCCATCCGGGCTCCAGCACCCCGTCTGCAGGCACAAAACAGAGTCAGAGAATGATGTAGGGTGAGAAGGGACCTCTGGAGATCATCTCCTCCAACCCCCCTGGCCAAAGCAGGTCCCACCCAGAGCAGGTTGGATTCATCCAGGGGGGGTTTGAATGTCTCCAGAGAAGGAGACTCCACCACCTCTCTGGGCAGCCTCTTCCAGGGCTCTGCCACCCTCAAAGTCAAGAAGTTCCTACTCATGTTTAGGTGGAACTTCTTATGTCCCAGTTTGTGCCCGTTTCCTCTTGTCCTGTCACTGGGCACCACTGGAAAAAGACCAGCCCCATCCTCCTGACCCCCACCCTTGATAAGATCCCCCCTCAGCCTTCTCTTCTTCAGCCCCAAAAGCCCCAAGTCCCTCAGCCTTTCCTCCTAAGAGAGATGCTCCAGGCCCCTCATCATCCTCGTAGCCTCTGCTGTCCCCTCTCCAGCAGTTCCCTGTCCTTCTGGAACTGGGGAGCCCAGAACTGGTCCCAGTGCTCCAGCTGGGGCCTCCCCAGGGCAGAGCAGAGGGGCAGGATGACCTCCCTCCACCTGCTGCTCACGCTCTTCCTGATGCCCCCCAGGATGCCATTGGCCACCACATTGCTGGCTCCTGGGCATCCTGGTGGCCACCAGGACTCCCAGGTCTTGTTCCTCAGAGCTGGTTTCCAGCAGGTCACCCCCAACCTGTCCTGGTTTGGGGGGGGAGGGGGGGTTATCCCTCCCCAGGTGCAACACCCAATACTTCATCAGGTTCCTCTCTGCCCAGCTCTCCAGGTCTCACTGGATGGTGGCCCAGCCTTCTGGTGCGTCACCCACCCCTCCCAGTTTGGTGTCACCAGCAAACTTGCTGAGGGGACATCCCATCCCTCCATTCAGGTCATTGATGAATATATTGAAGAGAACTGGACCCCTGGGGAACCCCCCCCCCTTAATGCTGGCCAAGGTGGGGCTGAAGCCAGCTGGAAATTGGGGGGATTTTAGTAAAAAACCCCAGAGGAGCAACACCTGGGTGGAAAAATGTCCCCCCTGTCCTACCTGGCAGCGTCCTTTGATGGTGGGCCACCGCTCGCACATCCACATCTGAGCCTCCCACACCCTAAAAGAGAGAAATTCCTGGGATCTACCCCCAAATCTGCTGCTTTCTCCCCCCCACAGCAGGAATAGGAGCAGTTTGGGCCAGAAAACCATCCAGATTGTTCGGTTTTGTAGCAAAAAAAAATAATAAAGGCTGGAATGTGCCATCTCACCGGAACACCACTGAGGGAGTGGCCGCCAGGACCTTGCTGCCATCCGGTGACCATGCCAGATAGGTGACACCTCCACCCCCAAAGCGCTGCAGGGGGACACAATTCTCGGTGGACACGTCCCACGCCTGGAGAAGGGGACAAGGAAGAGGAAGATAAGGTCAGTGAGACCCTGACCAGCTTGTTAGTGCTGCTTGGGGGGCCAGCAGAAGGTGGGGCCACCATCCAGAGGTGGACCAGCTGGAGAGGAACCTCATGGAGTTCAACCAGGTCACCCCCCAAACCAGTAGAGGTTGGGGGTGACCTACTGGAAACCAGCTCTGAGAGAGGGAACTGGGAGTCCTGGGGGACAACAGGTTGCCCATGGGCCAGCAAGTTGTGCCCAAGAAGGCCCATGGGTCTCCTGGGGTGGAAGGAGGTCATCCCCTGTCTCTGCTCTGCCCTGGGAGGCCCCAGGTGGAGACTGGGACCAGTTCTGGGCTCCCCCAGTTCAAGAGGGACTGGGAACTGCTGGAGAGAGTCCAGAGGAGGAGGATGAGGATGATGAGGGGCTGGAGCATCTCTCTGCTGGGGAAAGGCTGAGGCACCTGGGGCTGTTCAGCTGGAGAAGAGAAGGTTGAGGGGGGTCTCATCGATGCTGAGCAATATCTGAGGGGTTGGGGGCAAGAGGATGGGGCCAGACTCTTCCCAGTGGTGCCCAGTGACCGGAGAAGGGGCAACGGGCACAAACTGGGACATGGGAAGTTCCATCTCAACACAAGGAGGAACTTCTTTCCCGCGAGGGTGGAAGAGGCTGCCCAGAGAGGGTGGGGGGTCTCCTGCTCCGGAGAGATTCCAAACCCCCCCTGGATGAATCCAACCTGCTCTGGGTGACCCTGCTCTGGCCGGGGGTTGGGGGGAGATGATCTCCAGAGGTTCCTTCAACCCCAACAATTCAAGGGTATGATTTTTCTATGGACTGGGGGACCCAGAGTGATGATTTTTGGTCTAGATCCAGCTCAGGAGCTGCCAAGGAAATCCTGGCCATCCCTGCAGCCTTTGGTAGCCCCGTGGTGGCTCCGTAATTCTGAAGGCAACCCCCCATGGAGGTCTCTTACCAGCATGGCCGTGTCGGCCGGCGACGCCGAGAGCAGCAGGTCCCCGCTGGGAGCCCAGGCCAGGCTGGTGATGGGGCCGTGCCCGGGGTAGGACAGGACCTGAGCGCAGCCGGACGAGGGTCTGCAGGGAAGGAGAGAGAAGATCTCCAGAGAAGGGGACTCCACACCCTCCCTGGGCAGCCTCTGCCAGGGCTCTGCCACCCTCACCCCAAACAAGTTCTTCCTCACATTGGAGTGGAACTTCCCATGGTCCAGCTTGTGCCCATTGCCCCTCGTCCTGTCACTGGGAACCACTGGAAAGAGTCCGGCTCCATCCTCCTTCAACCCACCCTTTAGATCCTTGGAAGCACCACTAAGGTCCCCCCTCAGCCTTCTCTTCTCCAGGCTGAAGAGTCTCAGCTCTCTCACCGTTTCACAGAATGACATGGGGTGGGAAGGGACCTCTGGAGATCATCTCCTCCAACCCCTTCCCAGAGCAGGTCCCACCCAGAGCAGGTTGAATTCATCCAGGTGGGTTTGAATATCTCCAGAGAAGGAGACCCCACCACCTCTCTGGGCAGCCTCTTCCAGGGCTCTGCCACCCTCAAAGTCAAGAAGTTTCTCCTCGTGTTGAGATGGAACTTCTTATGTCCCAGTTTGTGCCCGTTTCCTCTTGTCCTGTCCCTGGGCACCACTGGAAAAAGACTGGCCCCATCCTCTGACCCCCACCCTTGATGAGATGCCCCCTCAGCCTTCTCTTCTCCAGCCCCAGAAGCCTCAAGTCCCTCAGCCTCTCCTCATAAAGGAGATGCTCCAGGTCCCTCATCATCATCCTCATAGCCCTCTGCTGTCCCCTCTCCAGCAGTTCCCTGTCTCTCTTGAACTGGGGAGCCCAGATCTGGTCCCAGTGCTCCAGTTGTGGCCTCCCCAGTGCAGAGCAGAGGGGCAGGATGACCACATTCTTCCCTACACAGCCCAGGATCCCGTTGTCCCTCTTGGCCACAAGGGCCCAATCTCAGAAAGGGTTGTCCCAGCTGCCACCCAAAGCCAGCGCCGTGTCCCCCCTCCCCGATCTCAGCAGGACGCGGAGGGGCCAACCCCAAGGCCACCCAAAATGGGGGTCCCCAAGAAGCCACCTGGTGGAGAGGGAGGTGGGATCCAGGTGCCACACCAGGACGCAGCTCTGGCAGGCGACAGCCAGGATGGAGGCGCAGAGCGGCTTCCAGGCCATGGTGGCCACGTTCCTCTGGAGACGATGCTTCAGCGAGGGGATGGTGGCACTGCCAGGGCAGGGAGGGGGTGACAAGAGTCAAAAACTGGGGCTCAAGAGTCCTCAGGCAGCCCAAGGGATGTCCTCCCGCCTCCAACCTCCAGCTGGGACCCCAGAGTGGGAAGAGGAGGGGGGGGATGTCCCCCACCGTGACCCCCTTCCCTTTGGGGGGACCACAGAGAAGATCCCAACCGGGTGACACTGAGCCAGGGCATCCCAGGGGTGGGAGGTGGCACTTTGGGTGGCTTCAAATCCCATCTGGGGTTTGGGACAAGGAGGACCTGGCGGCAGAGTCTTCTCCTGGGGAGGGCTCTGCGTGTCCTGGGGGAGCAGGAGGAGGAGGAAGGAGACCTGGGGACACCCAGGAGGTTGCTCTGTTAGTGACAGCAGCCACGTGTCACCCGGGCTGTCCCCAAGGAGCAGGGTGGGGGAGAAAAACTTAAGTTGATAAGGGCAGGAATTTTTGGGGAAGTCCTTGGGGGGGGGGGGGGGTCCCCGGACCGAGGACAAGAGATTTTGGGGACAGATGGGGCTGGTTAGGAGCAAAATCTGAGCCAACACCGAGGCAGAGACCCCGGGGGGGGACCCTCATGTCCCCATGCTGTCCTCATGGTGTCCCCATTGTGTACCCATGGTGTCCCCACGGTGTAACCAGGGTGTCCTCATGTCCCCATGGTGTCCCAATGGTGTCCCCACGGTGTCCTCATGTCCCCATGATGTCCTCATGGTGTCCCTATGGTGTCCCCATGGTGTCCCCTCGGTAGGGGCTGGGGGTGTGAAATGGGGAGACTCGGGGGGGGGACCCCAAGGAGCAGCATCACCCGAAGAACCCTCCCACCCACCACCCAAAACACCTCACCTTTTGGAGTTGTACACCCGAACGGAGTCATCCAGAAGAGCCACGGCAAATTTGCTGGTGTGGGGGTGCCAGGAGAAGGCTCGGATGGTGCAGCCGGCCCTGGAGAAGGAATTTGGGGGGGGCATATGGGGGGGGGGGAGGGAAACCAGCTCCCCCAATGGCATTCCAGGCTGGAGGCAGCGGTGATGGGCTCCTGGGCACCGTCACGACCCCCCCCAGCCCCCCAAAACGGGTTCCCAGTGTCTCCAATGAAATAAAACCTCATTTTTGCCGCTGAGCGGGACCTTTTCTCTGATCCCGGCAATTATTCTCAGGGGAAGGTTAAAAAAAATTTTAAAGCCCGGGATTGGGATTTGAAGGATTTTTCCAAACCCTGATCCCATTTCATGCTTTTTTCCCCCCAAATCGCTGCATCGGGGCACGCTTTGGGGTGAACTTGGGGGGCTGGAGGCAACGGGGAAATACTTGCCCCCCCAAAATCCATCCAAGGCGGAGGATGAGCATATTAAAAAAGGGGGGGGTCCTTGTGCCTCCCACCCCTTCGCCCAGAAACCCCCTTTCCCAGTCCACCCAGGAGGGACTCACCAGTCCACGGCCTGGGAGAACGCTGCGATCATGTCCTCACTGGTCAGCTTTTGGGGGAGAAAAGCCAACTCTGAGACACGTGTGCTGGGGGTGTGAAATGGGGAGACTCGGGGGGGGGACCCCAAGGAGCAGCATCACCCGAAGAACCCTCCCACCCACCACCCAAAACACCTCACCTTTTGGAGTTGTACACCCGAACGGAGTCATCCAGAAGAGCCACGGCAAATTTGCTGGTGTGGGGGTGCCAGGAGAAGGCTCGGATGGTGCAGCCGGCCCTGG